AGGGCGGTTTAAATTGTTGGAACAATTTTTAAACTATCGCTCTGTGGCGGTCAAATTGTGAAGACAATTTTTAGATTATCGCTCTGGGGCGGTTTAGTTGTGAAGACAATTTTAAACTATCGCTCTGTGGCTGTTTAAATTGAGAAATTCTTAAGTCATTGCTTTAGGGCAGTTTAAATTGGTGGGACAATTTTTAAACTATCGCTTTGGGGCTGTTCAAGCTATGCAAGAATTTTACTCAAGACATCGCTCAGAGGCGCTTTGATTATCTTGATATAGTTAGCAAACAAAATACATCGCAGGCTACGATCATATTGAGCGTACAAATGTCTAGTGGCCATGCAATTCATCTCTCTTTACTCTACTCCACCAAAGTACTTCTTCAAGTGGATGACATTCCAGGTCTTTGCTATCGCTTTCCTTCCATTGTGGCGAGCACATACGTGGCAGGGCCTAACTTCTCCCCTACGAGGAACGGTCTCTCCCATATGGCGGCTAGCCTGCCATTTCCTTCCTTCTGATTGAAGTTTCTTTTCAACACCATGCCATCCTCCTCCAGTGGCATATGTTTTACCCTGATGTTGTACGCTCTTACCACCTTCGACTTTTCCCTGATGGTTCAGACCATCGCTGCGCCTCGGCGCGTCTCTATCATATCTAGCTGGTGGATGAGCTTTCTGTGGTTTTATTCAGGGTCGTAAATTTGGACCCTGAGGGGTGGCCAGATGGGAGGGTCATTTCCACTGGCGCGACCGCCTTGGAGCCATACGTTAGAGCAAATGTGGTCTCACCTGTTGCTCTTTTGTAATTCGTGCGATGTGCCAAAAGTACGTGTGGCAACTCTACGGTCCACCCACCCTTAGCTTCCTTCAACCTTTTTTTGAGCCCTCGCAAAATCAGCTTGTTTGACACCTCGACTTGCCCATTGGCCTGGCGAAACGGAACTAAAGCCATGCTACAGGTGATGCGGTTTCTGGCGCAGAAGTTCTCAAATGGCCTGCTGTCAAACTGTGTACCGTGATCAGTGATGATGGTATGGGGCGTCCCAAACCAAATTATGTTATTGAACAAGAACTTCTGAATCTTCGCACTTGTGATCGTGTCAAGCGATTCAGCTTCTATCCATTTCGTGAAGTAATTCACAGTCACTACCAAGCATTTCTTTCCCAGATGAGCAGTGGGGAATGGTTCCAAAAGATTTAGCCCCCATTTCGCAAATGACCATGGTCCCGTTACAATTTTCAATTCCTCGCTGCGCGTGTGTTGCTTGCTGGCATGTACTTGGCACTTATGGCATCCCCAAACCGCTTCCATTGTATCTTTTTTCACTGTTGCCCAATAGTATCCCTGCAAAAATATTGTGCTCTCGAGACTTCGTGGCCTGGAGTGCGAGGCGCATGTACCTCGATGAATTTCTTTCACTATCCACTTTGCCTCACTTGGTCCAAGCCATTTCGAATATGTTCCTTAAAATGATCTTTACACAATGGTCCTTCTACCATGGTATAATGAGATGCATTCCTTCTTAACGCTTTGGCTTGGATCGCGTCCTCATGAACGACATCCCTTTATAAGTAATCAATCAGTGGTAAGCACCAATCGCGATCCTCCCCTTCAACGGTCATTACATCATAGTTAGACACTGCTTCCTTTGTAACGGTTAACTTGGCGGTCTCCATCAAAATCCATTGCCGTTGCTAATTTTGGTAAGGTATCCGCGTTATGATTGTCCTCCCTCCTAATATGTTCTAACTTCCACGTCTCCAGCTGAGATAACATGCCCCTGAGCTTCCGTGACAACTAAGCGAGCGCTTCCTCCTTTATTCATAGTTTTCCAACACTTGATTGACTACTAGCAGTGAGTCGGAATAAATCTGTAGATGTGTGGCGACCAAGTTTGTAGCAATTCTGAGACCGCTGAGGAGCACTTCATATTCCGCCACATTGTTGGTTTTTAGCTCATGGAGTCTGTGCGAGATTTCATGTACAACACCTTTAAGCGTTTCAATAACGATTCTAGCTCTCGCTCCTCCTTTTCCATCGGCTCCATCAACAAAAAGGTGACACGCCTCTTCTCTTCCTTTTGGCTTTGCAGCCTCCAAGCTAAAGCTTTCTGCGACGAAGTCTGCCAGGACTTGCCCCTTGATTGAGGGACGGGGTGCATATGCGATGTCGTGCTCGCTTAGTTCGACCGCTCATTTTGTCATTCTTCCAGATATGTCCATTCCCCTCAAGATCTTTTTCGGTTGTATATTTGAGAGAACCATGACTTGGTGCCCCTGGAAATAGGGTCGTAGCTTCCTTGCAGCTGAAATAACGGATAGAACAGCCTTCTCGATTGTCATGTAACGCTTTTCTACCGGGAGAAGCGCTTTGCATATATATAGTAGATGGGATGGTCTGATCCATCTTCCGCTATGCGCACTAAGGCGGAACTGACTGCTTGCTCGAAGACCGCCAAGTAGAGATATAACGGCTCTCTGTGAAGCGGAGCGCTTAGGACTGGTGGCGAGGCCAGCTGCTCTGTCATATGGAAGAAATCCTTTTTACACTCGACACTCCATTGTTTTCGTGACGTCGACTTCTTCAACATTTGAAAAAAGGGGAGCACTTGTCTGCTGCCCTTGGGATAAAACGACTTCAATCGGCCATTTTACCGTTGAATGCCTGAATCTCTTTGACTATTTTTGGTGGCTTTTAAGCTGAGTATAGCTTCTATTTGTTTCGGATTCGCCTCAATCCCTCTGCTGGTGATCATGAATCCCAAGAATTTCCATGCTTTCGCGCCAAACACACACTAGAGCTGGTTTAATTGAAGGCATTCCCTCCTTAAGTTGTCAAACGTTTCTCTCAAGTCCCTCAGGTGATCACCCTCCTTCTTGCTCTTGACAAGTACATCATCGACATATGCTTTCATGTTTCTTCCCAATTGGCTTTTGGAAAATGCATCTATCATTCGCTGATATGTTGCACCAGCGTTTTCAAGCCAAATGGCATGATTGTGTAGCAAAAGTTTCTCATGTGCATCAAGAAGGCGGGTTTCTCTTGATTTTCTTCGGACAACCGTATTTTGTGGTATCCGGAGAGCATGTCGAGGAAACTCAAGGTTTCATGGTTGGCGGTTGCATCAATAAGTTGGTATGTCCGTGATAGAAACCTATTTCTAGGGATCTATCGATTAGGTTGGAAAATTGGGAATTGGTAGGAATTAGGGATTTAGAAGTAGAATTTGGGGAAGAAAGAGTAGAATGGCCGGCGGCCTAGGTTGAGGTGAATACGAGATTGAGAGGAGAAAATTAGGGATTTGGGGGAAGATAACTTTTCTATTAATTTATGCTTAATCGTACAGAAGACTCAACGTTCATATTTATAGCTAAAAGATTGGAAAAGCCTAGTAGACTATCCTAATACGACTCAAATACTACTAACCTTATCTAGATAAATCCTAATAATAATTATTATGATAATTATGATAGAACCCAAAAATTAGGTTTCTATCATCCCCTCCCCCTTGAGACCAACCTTGCTCTCAAGGTTGACCGACTCGACCCACTTCTCCGCCCTTCTCCTGCAATCTAGATGTCGTCTCATATGCTTCTTGCGCTTCCTTTTCTTCCAATCCGGTATGATTTCTCACTCCGTCTTTCTCGTGATGACCCTCACCAAATGGTCAAGGGATGCCGACTTCAAGGGTCCACTCTTTGCTTCCTTGTTGAATAACTCCTCTTTTGTTGGCACCACAATCGAGTAGCTTAAGGAATCCAAATGGACGTTATGGCACAAGAACCTATCCTTAAAAACCAACTCATCAAGGCCCTCAAATATCTTCCTTGGAGCAAGCCCATAATCCAGATTTGTTGCATTTCCAATTAATTTTGGGCCCTGGCCCTCCAAAAGCCTACCAGCTGAGCTCCAAAAGCCCACCATTATCAAGACACTCTAAATTGGGCTCACTCACCCCTTGAAGATGCGGCCCACTGTGTCCACTTTTTGACCCCGAGTCTGACATAAATCGTTTCCAAGAATGCAGCTCAATTTTGTGACTAAAGCCTGCTGCATCCCTAGTAGCGACCGCGTTCTGCTGCCCCACTTGGCCCGAAATGAATTGCTTCCTCCTTGACCGCGTGTGCTTGCGACCCACCGAAATTGACTCATTAGAACATTTGACCCAAATCACTTTTTGCTCAGGACTTGGCCCAGTAGGGTAGGCGGCCCAAACGACCTGTGCGGCCAACCTAGGTTTTGCAAGAGGAACATCGACGCCGTCACCTGTAACATCCCATACATAGGTTAACTCTTTAACCATTTTGGTTCGATGGAGAACCAATGTCATAAAAAAATAGTTGGAGAGAAGAGATTGAAATGTAACGATCGCGAGTCCTCGCCAATTAAGGATATGAAAAATCTAGACAATAAATGTGAAATGAAGGTAATATGATAGAGAACAAAAATAAGAACACATGGATGCAGACGGTATCAGATTTCGCTATTAAACGAAGGAGTTATGAGTTAAACAGTGGAAGTTTCCCTAAACATTAGATAAGAGCAAAAAGAAAAAAAAACAAATGTACATAGCCTAGGGTCGAACTAGTGACCTCCGGGCAATAAGACAAGCGTTACACCGCTAGGCTGCATGCTTACTGTCCATGCTCAAGAGGAATCTTCTATTTATTAATATTGAGACGTAAATCCCAGGCCTAGTAAATGCATTTTTGCACCGACGGAGAGAGGGAGAAGACCAATTATTCCCGACACACTTTAACATAACGGGTTGGCATATCTAATAATTTGGATACGATCATAGAGGGGAGAGTGACAGTTCTTTAAAGAGCCTTTAAACAAAGGGTGAGTCCTTTCATCTTTTTCCTCCATCCATAGACGACGAACAGAAACACGAAGAGAAGAGAGAAATAAAGAAGAAAGGAAAGGATAGGAGAGGATACCAATCTTCTTAGACTTGCGTTATGGTAATAGGGCGGTCCGGAAGCCAACTACGAAGTCAGAATCGCCATTGGAGGTTCGTAGAAGCTCATGGGAGGCTCGTCGGAAAGTTGCGTCGGCGGCACCGGCGTCGTCGACTTCAACAAAACTCCAAAAGGCTGGTACCATGACAAAGAGGACGACTCCAGGAGCGTGCACGTTTCGACGAAACTCGTTTTCGACGTCGGACGAGCAAGAACCGAGCTCCGCAAGTTTGCAACGTAAAACTGCCGTTTTACAAAACTCAGGTATCATTTCTGGGTGTTCGAAAATGTAGAGGACCTAGACGGAATTTGCCTAAGAGGTCACGGTCAACAGGATTCAGTTGACTGGAAAATGTTAGATTTGGTACCTGGTACTTCGTGTTTTGACAGAATTAGTATTTTGTTCACAATTTGTTCGTTTGACGTCCAAACGACGAACCGTTTTCGCCTACAGGACTGTGAGAATGAGGAGAATATTATGAAACCAAGATCTGGAATTTCCAGAGCTTTCACAGAATCGGATTTCGTCATAAATAAGGTGTGTGGGCTTACGGTAAAAGGGAACCGAAATTACGTGTTCATTTCTAAATACGCATGATTGAGTTGATGATTAATGATTATGATGGATTTGTGATTGATTCATGATTGTGATCTTGGATGAAATTGTTGATGAAGTTAACTGATTTTTATGATAATAATAATTATTAATCTCGTATTGGAATGGTTGACGTATATGGTGAACTCCGAATATTTTATGAAAATGTCTATTTAGATCAGAATATGGAAAAGAAATTTAACGAATCTTGAGACGACATTAGTCATGATATATTACCATGAGAATCATTATATTGGTAATAATTGAGTTTTTGGAATTAATTGAGGTTATGACTTTAAAAAGGTTGAAATTGTGAATTTATAAATTGGATTAGATACGAGAAGGAATACTGGTCATAATAATTACAGCAATGGATTTGTGATCTTGCTTGTATTTTTAGATGGATGAAACCGGTTTCTATCTCGTTTTGTTATTAAAGAGATTATATTACAATTTTTAGAATAATGGCGATTTAAGGAAAAATTATTATAAACTGAGTATAATGGTGAGATGATTATCACGAGATATTTTAATTAAGATTGAATTTAAGTTACGTTTTAAGAATAATTTTTAGCAATAGTTAATTGAGTATTTAATCGAAATATTGAAGATAATCTTATTAATGTATTTTGACGAACGATGAGGTAGATGGTACTTTTAGAAATAATTATTGAGAGATGTGTTATTAAGGGAGACCTTTTCAAATGAACTTTTGATAATCATGAGAATTATATATTGGGTATGGTCCTTTTTAGAATGGTTTCAAGTTATTAATATAAATTCATGAAAACAAGATTTTGATCATAATATGTTTAGTTGATATGTTGATGAAATTAGTTAATGGACGATACGGATAATTTGATGTATTTTTATTGTTATTATATCGTTCGTATGATAAAATGATTTGATGACGAATAAAATATATATTGATTATTGATATGTATGATTATGGCATGATGATGATAATGACAGGGATATTGAGTGATAGTGATACGATTGACGTGTATGAGTATGAAGTGATTAGAATATCGATTGGTATAAATGTAATTGGTAAATATAAATATTACTGAGATATTTTGGGACAATGTTGATATGATGAATGCTTTGATTAATGATGATGTGGATGAGATATTATCATGATCGATTTGTATTTGATATGTTAAATGATTACGATGAGTCAATGATGTATTGATAAATTGAGTACTTGGTAGATTTGTCAAGTTTGATTTAAGAGAATGAATTATTTATATCATTGAGAAGATGATGATTATATTGAGATCGTGCAATGCATCAAAGTATGCATAGATGATGTGAGATATGCATGGACTGGGAATATCAATGGGACGCTGTTGATTTCTTGGATCGATTGAGATATGATGGAAGAGAAAAAAATTGATATTATTTGATCATGTTAAATCACATAGACATAGAAGGGCCTATGCCTACCCCTATGAGATTGATTGGGCTGCGGTCCTAATGAAAGGATTTATGATAATCCTAGATTGGATGGGATTGTGGTTTTTGATATAACCACTAAGATGATGAGCTCGAGCGGGGTGGGGTATGGTGACCTTAGCGCGCAAATTAATAACAAATGGAGAGTCTGCATTTCATGCATTGCATATGATATATACGATGGGGATGATTTCCATAAAGGAAAATCGTGAAGTTATATTCGATTGATGATTGATTGAAAGATTGATATGGTTAATGCCAAATTGGTGATTTGATTATGGATGGATAATTGATATGGTTATTTCAAATGATGAATTGAATTTGAATGAAGGATTGATATGATGGATTCATGAGTTGAGGTAAGTTTACGATTTTATGTCGATATACGACTTGATTAATGAAAGTCACACCATGAGGAATTGGGTTAAAGATGAATTTGGATTGATGACCTAGAAATAAATCTAGAGATTAATGAGATATTCGTGTGGCATGATAATTTGTTGATGATGTGTTTTTAAACAACAAGATGTGATGATGTGATGGCATGCTAACAATAGTTTTGCCGTATAGGCCAGGTCCACACACTCAGCTTAGTAGCTGACCCATTTTTCTTTCTAGATGTGACAGGTGTGATAAATTGAGGATGACTCTGGCACTGCACAATGATCGATGGATGATTTTGATTTAAAAGGTTTTTCACCTATTGATTTATTCTAGAACCCTTATTTTACGATTCGGGTTTTGAGCATGCATGATAGTTTACATTGGTCAAGTATGATCATTAACTTGAGTTGAGTATGAATGGAGTAGATGAGATTGATAGTCTGGGTTATGTGAATCCTGATTTTGAGGAAGATTGATTAATGAATTGAGAAAGCGATTTTTAGTAAATTGTTATGATGAGTTGAATTTTAAACATATGATAATGATGTGGATGTGAGTTGAGTCGAGATTTTGAAAGCGTAAACCCCGAGTGATTTCCGCTGCGCGGTTGAACCATTGGTTCGACCCATGATTTTAGGGTGGGGTGTTACATCACCCCCCTTCTTCGTCTCTCTCGCCGGGCCCTCCATCCTTGGCGGTGAGCTCTTTCCGGCAGGACTAAACCAGACCCCACCTCCGGCGGTGAGCTCTTCTCCTCGACAGTCGCCGGCACTTTTCTTCACAGCCTCTTCCTGCTTCCACCACCGAACCACCAGGCGAAAGGATGGCGATCCCAGCGCCGCCGTGATCGCCTTCTTCTCCGGCTCCCTCTGCGTCGTCGACATGAAGAATCCCCTCGTGGATTGTCGCGTTATTTGCTCGATTCGCTAGGCCTAGGCCGTTGAATGAATCCACCGGTCGGTCAACCCTCCCTTCGCCGCCTCGTCGGCGGCTCCACGGGCTGCTCCCCATCTATCTCTCCCTCCTTCTTCAAATCTTTGTCCGGCGACAGGAGCTTCACCTGGTTAGTGGAAGATGATCTCGACCTCGTCGCCCGTTGTACCCCCTCAATGCCCGACGTCGTTGTCTTGTCCATCCATGGTTGCTTCGTCCTCTCCCTTTTCGTCAGCGAGCCATCCACCCGACAACAAGGTTTTCGTCGCACCCCTCGCCCGATTCTCGAGGGCAATTCCACTCCGCGGCCCGTCGTCCCCATCCCGCGTCGTTGCTCTCTATCGAGGCGGAGCTCTACCCACAGTGTGTGAACCTCGGGGCTCCTAACCGCCCGCGTTTCTTCTTTTCCGATCGCAAACATTTTCTTTCAAAACTTCCACCCATAAGTCAGTGGATTCGTCGGGAATTCCTTCTGAGAGAAGCACTTAGCAGCTTCTCCAATCCCTATAATGTAGTTTGCTGTGGAAGGGTGCTCACCCACAACTCCGACAGTGGAGGTGGTGATTCGATTCGTCTCCCCCGACGAAGTTGCCATGACCCTATTGGCGGATGTTGATATCGTCGTCGGCCGGGGTTGAGCACGAACGGTAGTAGTTTCCACCGCTGCTGGTGCTGGTGAAGCCGCCACTGTGGTGGTTGATGGCTTGGGTTGACAAGGCGACGGGACTCGTAATATCTCTTCCACCGTTAGCCGCCGCTCCGCTAATTGCCGGTGCCACTCGGTGATTTTCTCAACGGTTACTGTATCCAAAGCTAGAGCGAGTGCACTCTCTCTGGCAACACGTTTTTCTTTTTGTTTCTTCATCTCCGCCAAGAGTCGACTGATCGAATTATTCATCTCTTCGAACACTAGTCGCACTCCTTCTCTAGTTAAGGGTGGTGATAAACTCATAAGTTTTCTATTAATTTCTTCTTAATCGTACAGAGGACTCAACGATCATATTTATAGCTAAAAGATTGGAAAAGCCTAGTAGACTATCCTAATACGACTCAAATACTACTAACCTTATCTAGATAAATCCTAATAATAATTATTATGATAATTATGATAGAACCCAAAACTTAGGTTTCTATCATTCCGTGACCGGGGGTATGCGTCCTTGAGACAGGTCGTATTAAGGTTTGTGAAATCAATGCACATTTGCCAATCGCCATAGTCCTGACGCTTTGCTGACGAAGACTAGATTTGCTATCCTCCTCTAGGGTCATCTGTTTTTCTAGGGAGGCATTTCTTCTTCTCTGCTGCACTAGCTTCGCCCTATCTTTGACCGAGAGGTGATGCCCTGCGAGTTCCCTAGAGACGCGCGCGACATATTGTTCGAGGTCCACGCGAATAGATCCTTGTATTCTTTGAGAAGTGACAAGAGATCACACACTTTCTCTTCTGGTAGGTGAGATGAGATTCTGACCTTCTTCTCTGGCTCTTCTTCATTTTGGACTACCACTGCGTCCTCTTCGACCGCCTCAGGGCGAGGGTGGCCTCCCCGTGTGTCAACCACGTCAACCTCTAAGCTTTCTATGTTTCCAGATAGCATTCCTTCGCCTGTTGGGTGTTTCCTTGGACGCGTATGAAATTTTCTTCCTGCGGGGAATTTGAGCATCTGGTGGCAGGTGGATGGAACCGCCGAGAAAGTTGACAAAAGCCACACCCCAGGATCGCATTGTACGTTGATGGATAGTCAACTACATGGAAGTTCATAAGGCGTGTTTTCGTTACCCCCGCTTCTCCTATTGTTACTTGCAGGGTTATCAATCCCGGCACCCATTTTCTTTACCATGAGAACCCCATGAGACTGGTTGTTGAGGGCTTGAGATCCTGTACGCTTTTCTTCATGCTCTTAAGCGTGAAGTAGAATAGGATATCTCCTGAGCTTCCATTTTCCACCAATGCCCTTGTGACTTTTAACTTTATTTTCCGGAAGGAGATAACCAATGGATCCTCTCCGCACTCCTAGGGTGCCAACTCAGAAGGTGTAAAGATTATCTCAACCAACTCACTTTTGTGGACGCTTAGGCACTGTACCTGCCGATCTCCTTCTGTTTGAGGCCGCTTGCATCCTCCCGATATTGTTATGACTTCCACGTCATCATCGTTCACACGAGGCTGTCGTTGCGGAGGAGTGCGTCTTGGGGTGGTGGTTGGCGCTCTCGTCGAGGTGATCGCTCTCGCCTTGGCGATTTTGATCTCTTACGTTTGGGCGTACGAGATCTTCTTCTTGGGCTTGGTGACCTTTCCCTTTCTTGTACTCTCTCTCGTTGCGAGGCCGTGTGTCTAGACGGCTCTTCAAGTCTCCTGGTGCAAGATATTTGAGACTAGCTTTGAACTAGCGACACTCTGTGGTGTCATAATTTGCCATTTGGTACCAATCGCACCACTTCCGATCATCCTCTCTTCTTTGTGTCCGATGCACGTTTTTTGACCTACCCCTTTCTCGGCACCCTTCTTCTTTATCAGCGGTGAACACTTCACGCCAGCTGTCTCGATTTGTGTACTGAGACTTGTAATTTTGCCTATCCGGTGTGCATCCTCTTTTGTTTGCCTTATCTGACCTTCTTTATCTACCGTTTCTCTTCCAAGGTTGACAAACTTCACGCTATCATTTGTTGTCAATGCTTCTTCTAACACAATCGCCTTCCTTACCAGGTGGTCTAGGTCTGGCCAAGAAGATCTCTTGCACTTCGCATGCTATGGTATTCCATCCGTCATAGAAGTTCATTAGCGTCTCCTCTCCTCCTTGTCTGCAGTTGATAAGTGCTGACACATTGAGCTTTCTTATCCTCTGAGATACGAATCTGGACGAGAACAACGTGGCGAACTGCTCAAAGCTCTCGATTATTCCTTCGGGGAAGGAAGTGTACCAAGTTCTGCACTAACTGTTGAACGTGACCGGGAACATTTTGTATAAGTTCGCGTCAGAGGTGTTGATGAGCTGCATTTTGAGCATGAAATCACTCAGGTGGTCTGTTGGATCCGAGTTTCCACTGTAGGCTGGCAACCCTAGTGACGAAAAGTTGGACGAAACCTGTGTTTTAAACAGGCTTTTCACAAGAGGGTTTCGCAGGACATTATGGCCTTTTGCCTTTCCATATGATGGCCTGAGGTGTTACTCTAAGAAGCTCAAATTAAGCTCTTCTACATCCTCCTCTCCCACGGACTCCCCACCTTCTGTCCGAGCAGGGTTGGCAGGAGTTTCTTCTCTTGTCTCTTTGCCTTTGGCCCTTTGTTCCGTAGAGCTTTCAGGCTCTTCTTTAGTATTCTCGGGCATATCTTGTGTCTTGAGCATGGCAAGGATTTGGCTGAGGCTTTTTTGCGTGCTAGATATTTACTGGCCCTGACTCTTTACGCAGTCTTATATTTCCATCTCTTCTTCCACTGTTGGCATTTCTAAACCACATATGCTCTCTTTTCCTACCACACCTTTGACTGGAGTTCCAGAATTCTCATCCATCCTTTCTTCAGTGTCTCGCTCTATGCCCCACGGTGGGCGCCAAATTATTTGAGCCTAGAATGTACTAGGCGGTGAAATGAGGCACGAGCGAAGCTTCAGTTCTTGATGGTGTGTAGTGCTCCTGAACCCTGCAAAACAAGGGTCTGGGCGGTCGAGACACCCTCCAGTGCTTAAGTTAGAGAGAATCTAAGAATGTGTTTATGTTTAGAGAGAAGGGAAGTAGTTGAGTTACCATCAATGCTAGTGTAGAGGTATTTATACCCAGTTAGATGAATTTAGAACATTAAATGCTCTGTTAGGCCCCTAATCATGTACTGCCATGTTATAGGCTGCCTACGGCAACTAATTAATGTTTAGTCCTGCTTGCTTCGAGGTAAGTATCTTAGAGGATCTCTCCATCTTGTCACCATCAGTGCTTTATGTCAGGCGGTCTATACCTGTCTTGTCTTTAGAGTGACCGCCTAACATATTTTATTGCCTACAGTCGCGCTACTCCTGGGCCGGGCCTGTTTGCTTTTCTTGGGCTCTAAAGTCCAATACCGCTCAACTATGGACCCAACACTATGTAATAGTAAAAATGCTATCTCTTATCCACGGCTATTTTCAAAACCTATCAATTAGACGAATTACGGGTTACCCTTAATTTGAATTGATATTACGGTTAGACAACAAGTGTTGAAAGGTTCTTTGGAACTTTGAGTTATTGTCTAGTAGGATATATAGATTTGTTGAGCAGTGTAGACACCAAATCTTGTTTTTTTTTTCTCTTTTCATAATATGAAAACCCTTCTTGGCTTTTTGTTAAAATCTGTACTAGTTGAATATTTCTAATTAATGACTTATTAATTTTTAATCTTTTAATTTTTATATGAATATAATTTTTGGAAGATGACATTCTTATGAAAAAATCATGGATTTGCCACTGACTTTGAAGTTGAGAGTTGTAGTCCATTATCATTACTAAGAATTAAGAATCATTCAACTCACTAAGCCCCACAATAGAGTCAAAAAGAAAATGTTGGGGCATGGATTGTGTGTTGCAAGAAGCGATTGAACATTCTTATTGAAAGATTGAGTGTTCGACTAATAACATTTTTTAAGTTCCTAAATTATGAGTCAATAATTTGTCTCAAATGGTTGTCCGACTTTAAGAAATATATTAAAATATATTAAAGCAGTTTTAGAATTAAGCTTATGCCACATCAGACTAAAACAAATACCGTGCGTCCACGTCATTAGTCTTTTAAACAAGGCCTAATCTCTCTCCTAAAAACCGCCCATAGAACTCTCTTTTTTTTATTGTTTTTTACGGTAGAAAGAGGAGAGAGATAGATTATAGGAGAGTTTGAATTTTTTTATAATTAGTCGTCGAAAAAAATTATGGGAGAGAGAGATTACGAATTTAAAAAAAAGAAAATCTTTCATAGTGATATAAAAACTTGGACAATCCATCATAAAAAAAATTGGTTAACCATTTTATTTATCTCCAATAGTAACATTTTATTATTTTATTGATCGAAATTATTTTTTTCCTATATAACAAGATTATTCAGTACTTTTTCATTTTTATCTATATATATTAAAATTTCTTAGCACTTTGGTAACAACTTAGACTCTATATAATATAATTATAACTTTATTTATTATGTCTGAAATGAAAAGTTAAAATATTTACTAAAATTGTTGTGGTCGAGTTTATGAAATTAATTACGACAAACAATTTAGTTCTCCTTGAAAATTTTCAACTCAAAATAATTAATACAAAAATGAGATGGAGAAATCACCTAAATTGAAAGTTCAAAAAAATTTACCTGTCCAAAGGGCAGGGTTCAAGCTAGTTGATGTTTAAAACCTTTTATAGAGAAACTTCGATCAATGTGTAAGTCGGGATCTATAAAATTTGAGCAAAGCATTTCATATATTGCACGCCAATAATGAATTTAGATGAACTTTAAAATATTTATTTACATTAAAATATCACAAACATAAGTGTGTATAAGAAATTCATGTAAAATTGATAAATTGACATTGTTACATATTTTTGACACACAACTGAACAAGTTAATAAGCACACCTGCATACAACGTAATAATAATAACTGAACAATCCCTAGACCTCAGGACTACAATTAATTGATTATTGGACTAATATTGGTGGGGTGCGCCAATCCTTGCAATAGTGCAACGCGTGGACAACACTTGAGAAGCCCATAGAGCAAGCTCTAGTGATGGACTTTTACCCCTATAAAAATTAATTTAATATCGTATGGGCCATTGGCCCACATATCAGATATTAAACTGATAAGAACAGATACTACACTTGATCTTAGCCAAAAGGCCGAGAGAGGTATGAATTGGATTGGGTGCAGAGCTGTCCTTTTATATCCACTCCCCTAGCTTCGTAAATTAGCTTAAGCGATGTGGTATAATGTAGCTCCTTAACACTAGTTTTCCAGAAATCAGAACACAGCAGACAAATAAAAGAAAGTAAGAAACCCAAGACAGAGGTCGAAAAGCAAGACAAAGCCTTAATTGCTCTAACCTTACAACTTCGCCCCGTCTTTTGTTGCGGCCTAGACCGGGAAAATGTCTTCTTCTTCCCGAGCTTGCTGAGTCATTAGACTACTTTCTCCTGCGACAAGAACAGCTCCAGAAAGAGAAAGGCACTGTTATTTCACGGCATTAGTCGAGCATAAGGCTGTTCGTAACGAATTTTATGTAATGCTGCGGTCTTTCTGAATCCTTACATGAAGCAATGGCCACGTTTTTGTTTGTGGGTGAGACTAATTAGTATCTTCGGTTATTCTCTTAGAGGTAGAAATAGATCAAAACTAGCGGCAGCAGCTAGTTGCTAGTTTAAGGACTTCTGGGAGGGAGAAACAGAAGGCTTGGTAGTTGGTACGTTATATGTTCATTGGGGCCCAATAATCTTACTAGTGTCTGAACCGAAGAAGGCTAGTTCTCATAAGCCCAACCAATATAAGCCCATAAACTAATTTCTATTTCCTTGATTGTGTTCTTTGCCCGTTTGCTGAAAGAAAACCAGGGTTTCTGGAGAAGAACTGGATCGACTGTCGGGTATCAAAGAGGAAAATTGAAGCGACAGTGAGAAGCAGATTGAGGCTTTGAAGAAGAGGGGGAAAGAACAAAACATGGAGAAAGTGGGAAGCAGTTCAGCACAAATGGCAGCAGTAGCATCGGAAGAAGAAGAGATCGGAAGCTACTACCACAGCAGCAACGTGAAGAAAGCCAAGCTGCAATCGACTCTATCGGCACTCCTCGACGATCCCGTCCTCGCCGACGTCCCCAAGAACCCTTCTCTATCTGACGTCGACACTTTAATCAGCCTCGAACTCGGCAGCGCGATGCGGGTCTCCGTACTCAAACTCGACGGAACCACCTTCGGTAATGAAAAAAAGAACAGAATTCCCCCCCTCCTCTTTGTGGCATTTCGTCGAGCATTTAGCCTGCAACTGTCATCCTAACTTGTGTGTTTCGACCCTTGGTGAGAGGAGACGTGGCGGTGATGAACTCGGCAACCGTAAAGGATTTGAAGGTAGCGATCACGAGGAAAGTGACCGAAATGGAGCAATCGAAAATGGGTCATCGCCACATTTCATGGTAGTACAATAAACATAAAAGCATCTATGGCGTTTTCTCTGCGAGAAAGTTAAGCATCTTTTTTCCCCTTCTGTTTGCAGGAGGCACGTTTGGGCTAACTTTGCCCTTTCCCACCATAACCAAAAGCTTACCGACGACAACTCTCCCCTTCAGGAGTTCGGCTTACGCAACAATTCTCAGGTTATTTGCCTGCACATTTGTTTTTCTCCTTGCTTTCATTCGAAGCTGCTGCTAGAGTAAGCTTTTTCATGAACTTCGATTGCAGGTGAATTTTGTGCCATATGTTGCGGCTAAGGCTTCTGGGCATCACTCCAAGAGGAAAAAACACCGGTTTTTTCATGGCCTTAGTCGCGCATAAGACCCTTGGCATTGAACATTGAGAGCTTCGTAGATCCTTCGTCTCAAGCAAAGCATGATTCCATCTGTGTCTTATCGACTGCAAAACTGTTGCAATGAAAATGTCAACAAAGTTGCAGCCTTTCTGAATCCTTAACATCAATTCAACTTTTGATGTTTATGGGTGACTCAAAGAGGCTGTTTTCTGTCTATATTTTTTTGTGTATACTCTGTAGTAGAAATCAGTTGGAACATCAATGGCGGGCAGTGGTTGTCGGTGAGCAAGTCCTTGGCTGGCGATGAGTTCCCAACTCGTTGGCTGTTCTCTCTCATTCGCCCTAATTACGTTACTGAGAATTTATTCAAATTATGTACGAAGGATGGTTTATACCGATTTCAAGGGCGTTTTGCAGGCCTCAATGTTAATGGAGAAAGGGATGATTTTTCATTCTTATTAGATTGGCTTTCATTTTTCATTCTACACAAGCACAAATCACGTTCGGAGCAGCTTGCATATCAGCATTCAGCAGCAGCCATGAGTGACCTCCTTCCGCTATGGCAACCCTGTTTATCAAGCAACAACAGACCAAACCACGGATTGGAGGTCTCGATCCTCTATTAATTAAATGAAAAGATAAAGAGTCGATCTGTATCCGGAAGAAGTTACGACAACAATTTATTTTTCCTTCTCGAATTTCGTCAGTACTTCATCCAAGAACTTTGAATTATTGTTTATATCTGGATGGATTATGATGCGAATGTGTCAAATAAACGGTTTTTTCATACTGTTAAAGCTTCATATGCACATATTTTGACAGGGTACCTGCTCCTTTCCTGAGGAGGTCAGGAATGTTTACAGCTCCAGTTGGATGCCCTGCATCAAACTCCTCACTACTTCTAGACAACACCAACAGAGAAACATTCCCACGTCCCTATTAAGGATACAAAGTATCAATTTGTAGTTTATGATAAGTTTATATAGATAGAATGTAAATGGGATATAATAGGTACTGAAATGTAATTTAGTCAGCTAGTTAGGATTCATAATTGACTTTCCCTCCCTGTAAACGAGAGTATAAAACCAACAACTCTAGCTGGATTATGTATGTTTTTATCATTCAATCAATAAACAAGAAGCATTAATTAGAAATCTAGCATGGTATCTAAGCCCTTCTGAGCCGATTTCGTCTCACATTCTCGCTTCAACATCTCTCTTCTTCTTCTTCTTCTTCTTCTTCTTCTTCTTCTTCTTTTTGACATCGTCCTCCTATGGCGATCGAGATTCTTCTTCTGGTGATGAAGCCATAAACTCTCACAATGTAGTTCGCCAAAGCAATTTGGTGAGATTCTGTACAAAGATGTTCCGATTTCTGATCTCGCCTCTCTGTTCTTCATCCATCTCTCGGAGAATTGGGGTCAATGCCTAGTCTCTCAGCCGCTCAACGTGAAAAATTTCTCAACCTGGGAAAGATCGATGGTCTTGGTCATCGACGATAAGAACAAAATCCCGCAGCCGAACGACGATTATCCACGGCTCGAGCCTTGGAATGACAACAACAAACTGCTTCTCAGCTGGATTCAGAGGTCTGTCAACCCTACCATTGTCGAGAGCATTCTGTATATGACCACTACAATTGGTGCCTGGACTGAATTGCGTGAGCAATTCTCGCAAGGAGATTCTTTACTCATTGCTGATCTTCAAGAAGCAATCTTCAATCTCAATCAAGGTACAATGAGTGTTTCTCAGCATTACTCTAAGCAACGAGCCTTACGGGATCAGTTAGCAAACTATAGGTTTATCCCGGATTGTGATTGTGGAATCAATTGCCATTGTGTTCTAGCATCTTTACGCAGAGACTACATGAATGACAAGGTTATTAGATTCTTGAGGAACCTGAATGATAGGTTCAATGGTCCTCGTTCCACAATCCTGCTGTTAGATCCCTTACCTCCCATTAACAAAGTATTTGCCATGATGGTTCAACACAAAAGAGAAAATGGATTGTTTCCCAAACCTCAGCCTAATCCAAACCTTGCTTCAAAAAGCATGGCTTTCTTCACCAAGACAGCAGATCAACACTTGGGTATTCAGGGTGCTGGTCAGGGGTTCAAGAAACCTATTTGTACCTTCTATGGCTATACTATCCATATTGAGGATATTTTCTATAAGGAAAATGTCTACCCTCCTAGTTATCAGTCAAAGAAGAAACAACAGAATCCCAGGCAAGCAAGCATTGTTTCAACTAATATATCTTCCTCCTCCAATGGACCAGTGGTGATCAATCAATGACTGGCAGAGTTTCCATCAGCAATACCAAAAATATTGAGTCTCGTCAATCCTTATCCTCAGCAGCTCAATCCACCAACCAATCAGTTCTCTGCTCCCACTCAGCAGCAGAATTATCCTCCTCCAACTGCATTTCTAGAAGCTTACACTGCTAACAATCCATCTCACTACTTAACATCTAATGATAGTAAAAGATCTGGTCAACACTACATAGTCAACAGAGCAAATTCTGTAGCCTCCCATCTCTTTGAGGTTCCTGACTCTAAAAGTACAATTCATTATGCATTAGATGTGAATTGTCATCTTCAGTTTAAACCTCTCATTTCTCTCAATTTAAACCTATTTTTAATGTCTATGTTCATAAGCCTAATTGTAGTAAAATTTATGTCACCGCTATAGGAACTGTTCAATACTCAGATTATTTAATCTTACATGATGTTCTTTTTGTACCATCATTTAGTTTTAATATGGTTTTAGTCAGTAAACTAGTCAAAAGCAAAAACCATTTGCTTATGGTTTCATTATTCTTTGTGCTTTATATAAGCCTACCCCAGTTTGAAAATGATTGGAACAGCTAGTTTGGTTGATGGTCTATACTTACTGCATCATCCTTCTCAGACCAAACAACTCCAACATAACCTTCTACTCAACACAAATCAAGTATCTTCCTCCGGAATAGCTTTCTCTTCTTCTAATCATGTATAGACATATGACATTATAGACTTGGCCATGTCCTAGAATGTAAAATCTCATAGTTCAGGACCATTGAAGCAATGTTTCCTCGATTTCTGATTTCCATCGTACTGTTTGACCTAAGGCTAAGCAATAGATACGTCCTTTTGCAACCAGTGCTAGTCAAACAAAAGCCCCTTTTGATCTAATACATGTTTATATTTGGGGTAATGCTCCTGTTACATCTTTTCAAGGTCATGCCTATTTTCTTACCATCGTGGATAGGGATGGCAATTACCCACCATGGGTAATTATACCCAAACCCAAGTGGACCCGTTGATAATGGGTTGGCTATGGGTGAAGTGCATATGGGTTTGGGGGGTTTGTAGATGGGTTTGGGTAAGGTATGAATATTGCTTCCATAATCTAAATGGGTATGAGTTGGATATGGATATCCATTTACTTGAGGGTGTTTTAACTACACATGCAAAAATTGGACCTATTTGTAAAACTTGAAAACTTAGGTACCAAAATGTAAGACCAAAAAAATTTAGGTACCAAAATGTAATTTTCCATCGATATTTTGAGGACTTATATGCAAAAAAAATTAAATTTAGGTACTAAATATGCATATCTATTAAGTTTAGGTACCAAACTGTAATTTATATTTGGGCATTGTTACAAACCCAAACCCATTTGTTATAAACCCAACTCAACCCAAAGTAAATGGGCATGGGTACAAACCCATCAAAGTCTACCCATATCCATCTATTTGGATTTCATACCCAACCCAATTGGGTTGGATAGTAAAAAACCCATGGGTATGGGCAAAATTGTCATCCCTAATCGTGGATGACTTTACTAGACACACATGGATTTTTACCATGAAAAATAAATCAGAAGCACACCCTATCATTCTTAACTTCTTTGCCTTTGTAGAAACTCAATTCAATTTCAAAATTAAAATCATCTGAACTGTAATGGTCTTGAATTCTATATTCCAACTTTCTACAATTCTAAAGGCACAATACATCAAACAACCTGTGTTTATACTTCACTGCAGAATGGTATAATTGAAAAAAAACATCAGCATATTTTAGTCGTTACATGAGCCTTACTGTTTCAAGCATCACTACCATCCCAGTTCTGGAATTTTATTGCAATGCATGCAGTTCACCTAATTAACAGAACCCCATCTACCCTTTTACACAATTCCACTCCATATGAAAGACTACATGGTGTTCCACCTAGTCTGCATCATCTCAAAGTTTTTGGTTGTCTCACATATGCAGCCACTATACAAGCTACTCGAACCAAGCTTGATCATAGGGCTCAACCCTATATTTTTCTTTGTCACCCTCATGGAACCAAAGGCTTCACATTATTCAATTTAACTACTCATAATGTTCTCATATCCATAGATGTTTCATTTCATGAAACAATCTTTCCTTTTCAACATCTGAATTAAAAAAATCAGACAGTTCAGTTCTTTTGCCAGTTTTTTCACCAGTCTCCTCAGACTTGGATTTCACCAAAGCTCACACCAACTTTCCTCAACAACTGTCTCAATCGGTTGTTCCTCAACTGATTCCTCCAGTAGAATCTTCTACTACAGATTCTTCTACACTTCCTACTAATACACCTTCTACATCAGTTTCAGTTCCTACATATCCTCCCCAATTAAGGAGATCAACTAGGCAAACTGTTAAGCCAGCTAAACTCAAAGATTAAAAATGTAATCTGGTTAGCCAGGCTACTCTTATTTCCAAAACAATATATCCTATTCAACCTATGCTCTCTTACAGCTCCCTTAGTACAACTCACAAGAGGTCTGCACTAGCAATTACACAAGCTAGAAAACCTATAAAAAATACAAAGAAGCTTACCAATCTAAGTACTGGTTACAAGTAGTTAATTATGAATTCTCCTCTCTAGAAAGGACCAAAACATGGGTCCTTGTCGATCCTACACCCAATGTTCCCGTCATTGGCAATAAATGGGTGTTCAGGTTAAAGTTAAAACAAGATGGTTCCATTGATAAATACAAAGCCAGGTTAGTAGCAAAAGGCTACACACAAACACATGAGTTGATTACCTAAATACTTTCTCTCTAGTGGTCAAAATGGCAACAATACGAGTTCTATTAGCCCTAGCATCAATTCACAAATGACATATGGAACAACTAGATGTCAACAATGCCTTCCTTCATGGAGACCTCAATGAAGTAGTCTACATTACATAAAGCTGCCACCTGGTCTTCCAGTTCATCCTTTAGACAAAAAAACAAAGTCTGCAAGTTAACCAAGTCCCTCTATGGGCTTAAGCAAGCTAGCCATCAATGGTTTGCTAAGCTTGCTACAACCCTAGAACATCTGGGATATCAAAAATCACACAGTGACTACTCTCTATTTACAAAACACACTACTTAGTCATTTACAGCCCTTTTCGTATATGTAGATGACATTATTCTCACATGCAATGACATGACAGAAATCAACCATGTAAAACATCAACTGGATCTTGCATTTACTATAAAAGATCATGGACCACTTAAATACTTCATTGGAATGGAAGTCTCCATATCTTAAAGTGGAATTCATTTGTGTCAACAAAAATGCACACTTGATTTGTTATCTGTTACAGGTTTCTTGGCATCAAAGCCAACTACTACTCCTTCTATGCCTGCTACTCATCTCTCTACTAATGAAGGCACTCCACTCAATGATGCGATCACAGTAGTTCCAGAACTTTATTTGGTCGATTTTGATATCTATCCAACACACGACCTGGCATCTACTATACTGTTAATCAGTTAAGCCAGTATGTTAACTCTCCTATCACAGTACATGAGCAAGCCACTCATCGATTGCTAAGATACTTAAAAACTACACCTGCCAAAGGCTTGTTCTTTCCTTCAAATTCTTCCATTTGTCTCATTGCTTTTTCTGACTCAGACTGGGCTGGATGCCTTTACACTCTTAGATCAGTGACAGGTTTTTGTGTCTTTTTAGGTAACTCTCTAATCAGTTGGCGATCCAAGAAGCAACAAACTGTCTCCAGATCCTCGACTGAAGCATAGTACAGAGCCTTAGCAGACACCTCACAAGAGTTGCATTAGATGATAGCCATATTCAGACAACTTCCAATTCAACCTCAGTAACCTTACACGATCTATTGTGACAGTCTTTCAGCAGCGAAGATGATGCAGAACCCTGTCCAACATGTAAGAACAAATTACATAGAAGTTGACTGCCACTTCACCAATGATCAAGTCCTAGCCAATAAACTGTAAGTACAACACATTTCCACTACCTTACAACTGGCAAATCCCTTCACCAAGGCACTTCTAGTTCACACTTTTGTCGATTTAACCTCAAAGCTTAACCTGAAATCGATCCACGTTTAGCTTGATGGAGGTATTAAGGATACAAAGTATCAATTTGTAGTTTATGATAAGTTTATATAGATAGAACGTAAATAGGATAGGAAGGTACTGAAATGTAATTTAGTCAGTTAGTTAGGATTCATAACAGACTTTCCCTCCCTGTAAACCAGAGTATAAAGCCATCAACTCTACCTGGATTATGTATGTTTTTTTCATTCAATCAATAAACAAGAAGCATTAATCAGAAATCTAGCAGTCCTGGTAGGCAGTAGCTCTTAAGCTGAATGATCTTCAACCGTTATAAAATTTGTTTTCGGCACTTCATTCTCATAAGGGGTAGTTTTTAAGCAGAAGCTCTCTTATCGTTCCTTATGCATACTCTAACTTGGTCGACTACTAGCTTTCATTTACCCGACATCCAAATCCATGTGGCCAACTCCAAGGAGCTCGTATGCTGTTCGAACGACCACCAACCTCGGTGACGGCCGTTGCTGTGGCGGAGATAGCAGCTAGGATTGCACTTTAGCAATCGTCGTGGAATGCATTTGCATATCATTAATCAATCAAATGTCTAGGCAACCCAAAATAATAAATTGATTAGAAACTAGAAAGCAAATCAACGAACCTAGTGGCGGACCTATGATTTTTTGATAGCTTTGTCGGTTGAACAGTATCGATTTGAAATATCCATGAACAAACATTATGTATTTAGTAGAATATTATACGTACAGTATCTTAGAGGTATGGAGGTCTATTTGAAGTAAACTTACCTGCCAGGTAATAATGATATATGATTTTCGGGAGAAGCTACGATGCTAACTTCATAATAGTTAGCACCATACTAACTATTTTAATCACCATCTATTTTTTTAAAATGTATTTCACCGTGAAAAGTTATGAGGGGCTTTATTGGTATTTTAAAAAATGAATATTATTAAATAAATAAAATTTCTACCTTCTCTCTCCGTTAAAAATAAAAATACTACTCCAAATTATGTACAACAATTACTATTAAAATTAGTAGTGATTTGGTGGTTTATGGGTTAATTGCATGATTGGTCACTGAGATTATAAAAAACGTTCATGTTTGGTCACTGAAAATATTTAAATCCAATCTTGGTCACTCAAATTAGTTAAATGGTTCAAGTTTGGTCACTCTCCATCCAACTCCATTAAATTTGTCTGATGTGGCAGTCAACCCTCAAAGTTGACCGTTAACTCAGTGACGGGCCGCCCCCTTCACCGCCCTCGCCGCCGCCATCTTCCTTCCACGGTCTTCTTCGTCTTGTAATGCGCCGCCGACCAAAAGGGAATCGCCCCTTTTCAATTTATAATTATAATATTTATTTATTTATTTATTTATTTTACTTTATTGTGAAAATGAGTTGGAAATGATAGAAGATTAAAATTTATTTTATTAATTATTTTTTAATTGCCACGTCACGGAGTTAACGGTCAACTTTGAGGGTTGACTGCCACATCAGACAAATTTAACGGAGTTGGATGGAGAGTGACAAAACTTGAACCATTTAACTAATTTGAGTGACCAAGATTGGATTTAAATATTTTCAGTGACCAAACATGAACGTTTTTTGTAATTTCAGTGACCAACCATACAATTAACCCGGTGGTTTATTATAGTAATTTCATGATCATTGGTAGTGATTTTATGGTCATTAATAATAATTTAGCTACTATAAATTAGTAGTGATTTGCACTTTTTAGTAAGAAACACTACTGAAAACAATGAAAACATTACCGAAGAAAAAACTACTATAAGTCTATAACACCCCAAAACGCTACTACTGGCTAACAAAAAATCAAATGCTTATTACAATGAGAACCACAACTAATACATTTAATCAGTATTACAAAATATGAAACACTACTACAAAATTACTACCGATCAAATCAATACACTCCTCATGCAATCAAAAAGACTACAGACCCTCCATAATCCATATATCCTGCAGTTAGTCCTACTCCGATGATGTTGTGGAGTACAATAGATCTGGCTTCCACCACTATTTTCCCTCGCCGCCGCGGGAGGAAACGACAGATCTATGTTATTAGTGAATAGATCTAGACCTAGAGCTGCTCGTAAACTCTCCAGATCGTCATTGGCGGTAATGGTGAGACGGTGCCCGACTTCCAATAAGGTGAACCCGACAACCACCCTCATATCACAAGTTGTCGTTGTCGCCGCCGCTCGCCTTCTCTGTCGTCGTCGACGCGACGAGACCATGTCGCCACTGGAGAAAAAAGTGAGTCTCCAGATCTTACCCTTCCTATGCCGACTCCATCGCCATCTACGCCCTCGCTACCTGCCTCCTCAATCGTCATCGACGCCCTTGGCGCCTGCCTCCTCCATCGCCATCGATGACCTGTGACCATGGTGCTGCCGAAGGAGAAAGAGAGAATCTAGTTGGGAAGTTGGGAGGGTTTTTGAAAGGTGAGTGGAGAGGAACGGTTTCAGAAGTAGGCGGCCAAAACAACAAATATATATTAGGGTTTGTGGTGTGTGAAATAAATATTGACATAATTGACCTTTACAAAATTGTAACACTTGGATTAATATTATATCTAACGGTGAAAAACTTAATTAGCATGTAGCACCTAATCCCATTCCATGATTTTCAACATACTTTTCTTACCATTCTCCATGTTTGGAAAAGGGTAGCAAGATAATTCATTTATACGGTTAATAAAACAACAAACATTAATTTAATAATTTTTGGTTAACATGCAAGTAATTGATTGTACGGTTAAAAAATGGTTTCATCACCGTAGATGGGAGATTTTGTTTGTACGCCCAACACATGTTTTAATTTTCATATTTGTTATAGCCAGCTCAATTTGTTTATGGTTTGACAGTTGTCATATATGAGATATAAAAGGTAAACTACAAAGAGATTATTATCTTACCAAATTTAGATACGATTATTTGGTGGCTAGAAAGGCCCTCTCTTTGTATCCAACTACATGTCGATTTTTTGATTTTCAGGCCTGGTTGTCATCCAAGATGTAATTATCTTTTGATCCAATGAATATAATTGGTTATATTTTGTAAAAAAAAAAGAGATACGTTTGATAATTGCTTCAATAAAAGCTACTGTATCTACATTTGAAAATCAATTGGCAAATAATTAATTTTTAAAAACGGTTGAATCAAACTATCTATCTATCTATCTATATCTATACTATATATTATGGCAATTCAAAAGCAATCTCTTGCCACATAAGCACTTGGAGGATCCACAATTTGCCAAGTTGGACAATATTTTTAAAAAAAAAATAGTTATTAATGTATTTATGGAGCTATCTCTCTCTTCTTTAATATTTCCATTTCTTTTAACCTTTTTTTTTTGCTTTAAAAGTAGGTTACATGTTGATAAACTTAACCAAACACACATAAATAATAATTTTTTTGTTCAGTAAAAAAATATAAATAAGAAAACAGAAAGTAACATATACCACATTTGTTTAAATAAAAAATATCTGATTAAACCTAATGAAGTAAATTTCTTACTCATTTTTACTAAAATTGAATGATAAGTTATATTTTTATGGAAATTAGACAAACATACACATAAACAATAACTTTTTTCGATTAAAAAAATTATATGAAAAGAGAGAAAATAAACATTTGACATTCAATTACCTATGAACTATAAACTATATTACTTTAAATTTTGTTGCAACTATACTATATATTATGGCAATTCAAAAGCAATCTCTTGCCACATAAGCACTTGGAGGATCCACAATTTGCCAAGTTGGACAATATTTTTTAAAAAGAAATAGTTATTAATGTATTTATGGAGCTACCTCTCTCTTCTTTAATATTTCCATTTCTTTTAACCTTTTTTTTTTGCTTTAAAAGTAGGTTACATGTTGATAAACTTAACCAAACACACATAAATAATAATTTTTTTTGTTCAGTAAAAAAATATAAATAAGAAAACAGAAAGTAACATATACCACATTTGTTTAAATAAAAAATATCTGATTAAACCTTATGAAGTAAATTTCTTACTCATTTTTACTAAAATTGAATGATAAGTTATATTTTTATGGAAATTAGACAAACATACACATAAACAATAACTTTTTTCGATTAAAAAAATTATATGAAAAGAGAGGAAATAAACATTTGACATTCAATTACCTATGAACTATAAACTATATTACTTTAAATTTTGTTGCAATGAAACACTCTCTTATTCGTAAATTATATGTCTATAAAATAAAATAAGTATTATTTACCAAAATGTCAGTGTATAATCTTGATCGAGTAGTTATAGTTATTTATATAAAAAAGACTTCTTATTCCTCACATCAGGTTCTACCTTAAACTCCTCAAATGAAGAGAAATCGTATGTGCAATAATTTTATAATGTGTCCTAAGCTCACATTAATAATATTTGTTCTATATCATGTTGATTGAGCAAGCTCTATTGAGGTCCTAAGTCGTATGCTAAGAAAATTTTCTTTCAGACTTGGACTTATTGTCAACTATTATAAATAAATTTTTTCAAAATGACTTAAGTATGATTGTTGACGAACTTTGACTTCATACCCTTGGATGAGACACAAGATTCCTTGAAAAAACATAAGGAATGTTAGAGAATCTTTGTTGAGAATATACGATAAACATCGCGTTTCATCAACTACTAACCTAGACATTTAGCAAATAAAGGTTGGCAATTTTTAGTAAAATAGTCAATTGGGATAAACATATTTATCCAACAATCAAGTATCTTTATCCAGGAATCTCAACTCTCAAAATAAGTTGCCAGTTCGTCCAAACTCGAGAAACATGAATTGATATATGTTGTATAGATAATAAGTTAATGGAAATAATCAAATGAAATCCACCGATATTGGTCAAATGATAAGACATTTTAAATACACTTGAAAAATGTGTGTATTGTAGAGACTCTTTATCAAATTAATAATAAAATATAAGTGATAAAATCTTTGAAAATTACACATTCAACGACCATGTTAAGACCAAAATCCTCGATAATGTGTGCGAGTGTCTTAGATTGAGATTCTAAGCCAACATATAAACAATGACCACGAGTTGAACTTCAAAAATTAACAATTGATACATAATCTATAATATACTAAATTTTAAGTGTCTTGATAAAAAAAACTAACATCCAAAATGGAAATGAGTCGAGATTATAGAATTTAATCATCACGAGGGCTACGGTGTGTGTCAAGTTTCAATATGGATGAATAAATTGATCCAATAATGAAGTATCTTTACTAAGAATGTCTCACTAAAAAGTCATAATCTTTACAACATTGGTCAAGAGTTCGTCCAAACTTGAGGATCATGAATGTGTATTGGATTTCCAAATGACCTAAAATCTCAACCCCTTTCGGGGGCTAAATACATCTGATCACAACCATAGGTGTCAAAGAAGAATGAAAAGAAGCCAAAAAAATATAAAAAGAACATAACCTCCGATACGATGAACAGAATAAAAACATATCGAGCTATGATCCTTTCATCCCTACCCTATTATTCTCCATAAAGGGGGACGGCGGGAGAGGATAAGAAATAAATAGCATCATCTTAGAATTTTCCTCTTTATATATTACATATCAAACGATAGACAACCTCAATGGTTGTCTGACGTTATGGGGTAAAAGCGGGATCTCTATCCCGAGGGTGGGGGATAGGCGAGTAGCACTTTTAATATGAGTACTAGTTTTTTGACCCGCGCTTCGCGGCGGTAAAATACTAATTATATTTGAAATTTCATCTACTACTTTAGTTGAAATTAGATAATTCATAAAATACTTTGGATAAGATATTTTTAATTTACATAATTGTTATAGAATATTGTTCCGCTGATCTTCTGTAATCTGTGATCTAATAATAAAATCAAATTATAGAAAAATCTCATATTTAATTGAGCTATTTGTTAAATCAACTTATCTTAGAGAACCTTTGCATAATGGAATTAAGTTGAGTATCATATAACGTATGATCAAACTGTTATGTAAAACCAACCCACCTTACAAAACTTTCGTATGATGTAAATTGATGAGATAGTCAACAGTTTGTCTACAATGTAGGATTTTTTTTTTGTTCCAACTTATATTACTGACGACTTGCGTATTTTGTTTAGTCAATTAATACATAGCAATTACTATCCTTTAATAAAGTTTATGTATTGTCTTAGTCATTACGGAAGACTTATGTAATGAGTTCTGTTTAATTGATATATAACGAATAACTATTCAACTATGCTCTTTACGTAATATATTTATGATTTATATAATGATTGTAGAATGGTGTTAAGTAAATATTTCATAATATATGGTCTAATAATGAGATCAAGTTATAGAAAATATTGACCAAACTACTATGCAAATGTTAGCTTACCTTACATAACTTCTCGTAATGCAAATTTATGAGATGATAAACATTGCAAATAATAATAAGTTTTGCATAATATATTTGTAATGCGCAAATATTCCGTACCGTGGATTGAAAAAAAATATCTAAATAGTTGACTAAAGGGGAAAAATATATTAAATTGAGTGTAATTTTTTTGACCATTTTTATAGTTGGATTTATAATTATTTTTGTATTTACCTTTTATAAAATAATTATTTTTTGCATCATGTTGTGATTATATTCAGTAGGGTCTCAAAAATATTAGGACTGACACTGCCCAACTATAGTATATGTCATGCCCATAAAATTTAGGTCAGACACGTGTCATAAGATATTTGTGTTGATACCAGACTGACCCATATATATCGTGATTGTGCTCGTACTATGCTCTAACTATGTCGTGTCATGTCGTGCTAGCTCATATGTGGTCGTGCCGGATGCCCAAATACACTTGATGAAGTATCAAAGTTAATTAATATTAATGCCTTGTGATACAACGTTATGTATCACACTGTAATCCATAATCTACAAAGGCTTTCATGACTGCCATGTCATGAGCATGAAAAAACACGAATAAGTTGTGATCTTTCCCATGTGTGTTATAATAAGGATTGAAAAAATCTAACGGTATCGACAGTTCTACCAGAAATATCTCATGTTAGAAGTTAATTCGATAGCTATGAAAGAGTTGAATCACGGTTAAACCACAATTTGTTTATGATAAGTATTGGGAAATCTGTCGTGTCGAGCTCATGTGTAGCTGTGGTCGATGCCCAAATACACTTGCAGCCCCTAGCTTGCTTCTTACAACTCTAGTACATTGATATAATCCAGACTTAACATCTAGAAAGGTTTTTATTACTACCGTGTCATGAGCATGAAAAAACTCAATCTTTTCCCATGTGTGTTTATAATAAGGATTGATATAATTGTATCGTATCGGTGGTTCGGCCAGAAAATATTCTGCTAGAGGCTAATCTGATAGGCGGTATTTAACAGTTTGAAAGGGTTGAATCACTGTTTGTTTAATTCATAATAAGGATTGGGAAATCGTACCGTACCGGCGGTTCGTCCAGAAAAACTTTTTACTTGAGGTTAATCCGATAGGCGATATTTAGCGGTATAAAATGGCTGAACCATGATTAAACCACGATTTATGTATAAAATATCCTATCGTTAACTTTTTCGAAAAATATCAGATATGTTATTACAATCTTTGTTTTATACAAACCATCAATTTATAGAAAGGAAACAAAATCAAATTAAATAAAAGTAGAAAAAATAGGGGAAGCTAGGCTAGCCTCCATACGGTGTCTAGGTTGGGCAAATATAATGGAACCGGCTGTAACATATAGCTTCCTCCAATAAATAGTGAAAAGGAGAAAAAATCATAATGAACAGTGTACATACTTACCGTTTAATAATTCTAATAACTAGTTTTTTGGCCCGCGCTTCGCGGCGGTTATAAAATATGTATTCTTAATTATTACAGAGGACTCAGGTAAAACGTTTGTTTAATTGATGCAATAGAAAATAACTATCCCTTCAACCTTTATAAGTTTTACATATATAATAAATATCCCTTCAACCTTTTATTAATAACTATTATAGAACGGTGTTATGTAATCTTCCATAATGTTTGGTTTAATAATAAAACCAAGTTACAAATCCCACATTTGATTCAACTATTACATAATGTTGAGTTATCTTACAGAAGCTTTAATTCGTTTAATCCAAATTGATGAGATGATGAATAAGGTAGGTAATAACAAAGAAATATGGTTAATAATAAGTCAATTAATTTGTAAAAAAGTATCACATTTGATTAATCTGTTATGTAATATAACAAATAATGTACCTTAAAAACCTTTATGTAAAGCAATTGATGAGATAGTAAAAAATTTAGTACTAATTTAGAAATTTTCTATATCACAAAAGATTTGAAGTGATATGTTTGTTTAATTGACACATAGAAATTTTTATCTCTCTGTAAGATTTGTGTATTTTCTTAGGTATTAAGACTTAGATTATACGTTTTGTTTAATTGATACATAAAAAATAACTATCCCTCTGTAAGATTTATTTAATGTCTAAATTACGTAATTGTTTAGAATAGTGCTAGATAAATCATTCGTAGTGTCTGGTATAATAATAAAATCAAGTCATCAAATTATTTTGTCTGACATAAGACCACATACCAACATCTTATCACTATCATACCAACATCATATCAATAACATAACACTATATATGAACATTATGATGTATTAAGTTATCAAATTATTTAGCTAATGTATTAAGTTAGGTAATTGTTATAGAATGGTGTTGAATAAATCTTCTTTAGTGTATGTTCTATATAATAAAATCAAGTCATCAAATTATAATGGCTAACATATAAGACCTCATATCAACATCATATCACTATCATACAAATAATTTTACCAATATCATATCACTATCATATCAACATCATACCACTATAATATAATATCACAGTCAGGGGCGGACCTAAGGCAAGGGAGAGTGTGTCGGACCGAGAATTTCGGAAGGACCAACATATTTCCGGTGCAAAAATTATAAGTTCGGCACTTCAGACAACCCTTCGATAATTATAGCCGACACACCCTCATTAGACTCGAAGAATTTTATTATTTAAATGAATCAATCTTAAATTTTAATTAACAATAATTCCTTTTTAATTTGTTTAAAATAACTCATAATCCTATCAATTGTTATTAAAAAAACTCACAGACTATATGTCCATATCAACGTACATGTGTGCTGAGCCTGGTTCTTTCACTAAGGGAGAATCAAAAAAACCACCAAAGTCCAAGCGGGCATTGTCGGGATCCACCAGAATACTTATTTTTGAAGTTGGTATTGACTTTATATGTTGCAACTGCAAGATGGAAAAGAGTATTTTCAGTTACGAAGATAATCAAGAACGATCTTCGAAATCGGTTGAGTGACCAATTTATAAATGATTGTTTAGTTGTATATATACGAAAAAATTTGCTTTGCAGCATAAGTGATGAATGTATTTTAGAGACATTTCAGTTGATGAAAATTCGTCGTGATTCGTTGTAAACATGAATTGTGAAATTTATGAATTAATTTTAAATTAATTAATTTTTAATTTTATAATCATTATCGTATTATATCGGCGACACACCTCTCCGACAATCCTGGATCCTCCATTGATCACAGTCAGTGATAATATCATGATATAACAGTGGTTTTATGACCTGCAATTTTTTTTGTTCAACAAATTATCAAAATTGAATGACCTATGGTCCATTGCATATTTGGAGAAAATTTGAAAAGTGTTCTGACAACACACCCGAAAATATGCGCATTGTCCAAAAATTCTGGTCAGCTCTCTTGTAGGTCCCTTATTTTCCTCTTTGACCATTTATTATATACATCATTAGATCTCTATTTCCTAAATTACAACTATTAGATAAGGTTTTATAGGGTACTACAAATAAGAAGTATTTCACTATCATACAATTACATGATATCAATATCATAGCACTATCATATCAAATCATACCACTACGATATAATATCACAATCACTGATACTATCGTGATATAACGATAGTTTTATGACCTGCAAATTTGCGTTCCACAAATGAGTTATGGTTCATTGAATTTTCAGATAAAATTTGAAAAGTGTTTTGACAACACGCCAGAAAATCCGCGCGTTGCCCAGAAAATATGGTCAGCTCTCTTTTAGATTCCTTATTTCCCTGCTTGACCCTTTATTATATGGACTATTAGATCTCTTCCAAAATTACAACCCTTAAAACAAATCTTATATAGTACCACAAATAAGAAGGATTTTGTTTGATCTTTACTAAATTACAACCATTAAACCATTAGCTCCCTCCCATCTCAATCTTTATCGTGTTAGTGATTGGTCCATGACTAATGGATTGGGAATGAGAAGGAAGGAGAAAGGCACGGGTTGAAAAATGAGAGGGCTGGACGGAGATGCTCGGACAGTCGCCATGGAGTTCACTGTTTTTGTTTCTGTACACTCGGCCACAGGCTTACGTACACACGGCCACATGCAATTTAAAAAATTAATGTTTATGAACAGTAACTCGGATTTTAGAACTAACCCGTTTTTTTCGTATGCAACAGTTGCTAATCTTGGGCCTTAATAATTCTAATAATTTGAAAAGTGTTTTGACAACACGCCAGAAAATCCGCATCTCTTTTAGATCCCTTATTTCCCTGCTTGACCCTTTATTATATGGACTATTAGATCTCTTTCCAAAATTACAACCCTTAAAACAAATCTTATATAGTACCACAAATAAGAAGGATTTTGTTTGATCTTTACTAAATTACAACCATTAAACCATTAGCTCCCTCCCATCTCAATCTTTATCGTGTTAGTGATTGGTCCATGACTAATGGATTGGGAATGAGAAGGAAGGAGAAAGGCACGGGTTGAAAAATGAGAGGGCTGGACGGAGATGCTCGGACAACCGCCATGGAGTTCACTGTTTTTGTTTCTGTACACTCGGCCACAGGCTTACGTACACACGGCCACATGCAATTTAAAAAATTAATGTTTATGAACAGTAACTCGGATTTTAGAACTAACCCGTTTTTTTCGTATGCAACAGTTGCTAATCTTGGGCCTGTAGAATTAGGCGAGATAAGATAGGTCTGACAAACTATCTGGATAATTTTTGACACACACACACACACACACACACACACACACACACACACACACACACACACACACACACACACACACACACACACACACACACACACACACACACACACACACACACACACACACACACACACACACACACACACACACACACACACACACACACACACACACACACACACACACACACACACACACACACACACACACACACACACACACACACACACACACACACACACACACACACACACACACACACACACACACACACACACACACACACACACCGGGTGAAATCCGGGGTACCACATACCTCGAGTATGTAAACTCTATCTAGACCTCGAATTACCAGGATTTTTGTGTCTAATATTATACCCTAACCCTTAATGAGTGAACCCTAGGTCATAATTATCTAAATTATAATCTATAAACCCTAAGATGGTGCATTCATTTTTGTGCCTATATTTGGATGAATCATAACCGTTGATTATTATTTCTAATTAAATTGATCTTGGAGTATAAGATTGGGAGAGTTAACACCTAGATTTTGATCTTTAAGTGTTAGAGTATAGTATCATGTCCGAAAGATCGGTCAATTCAAGGTCTATATAGTGTTTTCATACTCAAGGTATGTGGTACCCCGAATTTCACCTAGGGTACCGTAGAACTCGCCATATATATATATATATTAAGGTATACTATCTTTGCATTTTACTCAAGATACGATAGAAGATAGGTATGACAAAGTATTTGCATAAATTAGAGGTTAGAGAATTATGGATTATAGTTCACCTATTAGAGGTTAGGGTATAGTATCATGCCCCAAAAAATTCCGAAGTCTAAATAGTAAAACTCAATGGTTGTATGGTAGTGTGTGTGTGGTTCAGGTTGGCGTACGCTAAATATTAGTGTTTTGGTTGACAAATTTTGACATAGATTATAAATGGGACGTGACAGCGACATAATTTATGATTAGAAAACCGAAGCATCAGAAGTGAGTGTGCTAAATATTGGAAATTTTCAATATAGACATACTACAAACTCTTTTATGAATCAAGAACACAAAATATTTAGAAGATCCAAAATGATTTAAACATATAAATAAGTTAATTAATATAAATTATAAAATAAATATCTCCGGCCAACGGGCCGGGTAAAAAGCTAGTTGACCTGTAAAGTGTGTAATCAGTTTGATTTGATTGAGATAAAAAAGCATTGCATGATCGACATGTGTCCCATGTTGTCATATTGTGCATGCACATGATCGACAGGTGTCCCGTACTTTCATATTTTGCATGCACAACGGAAAAATCTTTCATCGTTTCTAATTCTTTATAGGATTTTACTAATAAGAAAGAGTTAAACCATATTGTTATTACCAAATCCTCATTTCCTTCTTCAACTCGTAAACAAACACACAAACTTAATTACCAACCATATTTGTCAATTTAAAGCCCTTCACATCAATGATAAACTTAGCTCACATAAGTTGACAATTCCATCCAAAAAGAAACATTAGTCTATAAACCACCTGGTCTTCAATACCAAATACCCACTTTTCCATTTCCATTCGCCAAATTGATGACGACAATCTTACTCTATATTTCGTCTAAATTTAAATTAAAAACAAAACAAAAAAACTTAGAACTTAGACATAATTCTGGCTTCAACTTGGAGAGCCTTCAGCTTCAGCAGCTAGCTTCAGCTTCTTCCTCTCGTGATACTCCTTCAGTTGCCTCTTGTACCTTTCCTTGTCCTTCATCCCTATGGTTTGATACACCTACACACCCAAAAAAGAACCAAATCATACAACTTCGGATCAAAACCCATTTCACAGTTTTGACCTTTTTCTTTAATTCACACAGTTTTACCGTTTTCTCTTCTGCACTGAGATTGGTCCAAGCCTGTCCAATCATTTTGGTGAACTCCCTCTTCTGTTTGGGGTGCGTCTTCTTGAGCTGGTAGTGCCGCTCCGCAAAGAAGAAGTTGTAGCCACTCCTGTTGGATTTAGGGTAGTCAGGGTCCTCCATCCTTCTTCTGCTGTCCCTTCTTCTCCGGCCGCCCCCTCCGTAGTGTCGGGACCTCCTAGGTGCGAACGACACTAGGGCGGCAGCGGTTGTGACGCTCCGAGGAGGGGCGGCCTGGGCGGTAACAACAGAAGAGGGCGCAACAACAGGATGGTACAGAACTCCGGTTAGGATCTCTGTACCAATTTTCATAGAGACTATGTAGCCCGACTCAAATTTGGTTTCGATTGTCCCTGTCGCGGTAAATGTGGATAGCTCTACATGACAAAAGAAACTCAAAGGAGTTGAATGGTGTACTATTGCACATTGAGAAGTTAGGGTGATAGGGACCACACGAACAAAACAGAACTAGGTCTACCTCTAACCTATTGACCAAAGAGTCAAATTTTTTAGGGGAAGTTCTTTCCAAGCCTTTCTAATTGAAATAAATAGGGATATATAGCGGAATATTCTTTCCAAAAAAATTAAATAAATAGGGATATACATTCAACGACATTTCGACTTGATTATATTATTCACGTTCTTTTAATTAGATTCTAATACCGATTTCGATTCACTTCCAAACAGCAACGAACCGTGCCTATTCCTACTGATACGCATATGACAAGAACGAGAGAGAGAAAAGCTTACCCTTACCAGGGACCGGATTAGATGAATTTCGAACAGAGTTGGGATGAGGAGCAGAAGAAGAAGATCCTAGCAAAACGGCCACTGTAGGCTTCCTGAAAGACCGTCGTCCTCCAGTCCGACGACGAGATGCTGCAGCCACAATAACAATGAAATTTGACACATTAGTCCCCTAGACAATTGAAAAATTATAGAGCAGCCCATATTCTCAAAGGGAAAAATTGGGTACCCTTTTGTTTGCCGATTTCGGCAAAGATTGGACCCTGGACCCTAAACAAGTGGACTTGTTCATAATGGTACAGGATCTCAAGGTAATGCTTCCTTAGCACAAAGGAAGCACTTGTCGTTGTGCGAGAGAACCGAAACACCGAGCCCACTTCCCTCCATTTCTTCTCTGCAACCACCTGTTAACATCAGATCGCCATAGGACATCCATCCATTCATATTAGAACCAGATTGAATTAAGATTGAACTGGAGTAAAAACAAAGGAAAAGTGAGGATCAGAATCGGACCAAAACATGTTTGGGTCGATTTGGTCCGGTCCAAATTCAGCTTTGTTCCATCTTTTCTTCATACATAAAATAATTCATAGTGCCAAAACCAAATCAAATTATAATCGATCCGATCCAACTCGATTCAAATATCGATTTGGTAAGATTCGGTTCGATATGAATCTGATCGTTGTCCACCCCTATATACGATCATAACCAAACTAACACTGAAAAGAAATCTATGACAAACTATATAATAACACTCTTAATATAAAATAATACTATACTTAATACTCATGCTCTAATAGTTATCCTATGGATTTCTTTGAATTGTGACATATTCGATTGATTGGAAGGAGATCAAGGGGAAAAATATACCATCACTATGATAATTGATATATTTATGACAAATTATATTAACAATGAAAAAAAGAAAAGGAACTAAATTACCTTCTCAAAACCGCCCCTTTTCGTGGCCTCAATATAGAGGACATGCAAATCCAGGTTTTTCCCTCCAATCACAGGAATCCTTATGAACCCAAAACAACAACAATGAAAGAAACAGAGCAACCAACATCGTTACAAAGATCGAAACTTCATTGTCGGAGGAAAAAAAAGGATTTAAGAGTGTTTACGAGAAGGTGGTTCCCATAAGGAAATGGAAGCGTCTGAGAGTGCTCCAGAAGGCCACACTATCCTCAACTACAACCTCGTGGGCTGCCAACGGAGCAGGGTAGAACTTTCTTATTACTTCTCCTCCTCTTCCTCCTTCCTCCCCTGACCGTACCCGTCGTTTCCTCCCCGCCGGCGACATTTGTTTCTTGCCGGAGCAAGATGGGAAAGGGAGGAAAAGGACGAACTGGGATAGAGAGAGAGAGAGGGGGGTTTAGAGAGAGAATTGGTGAGAGGAATGGTAGTGAGGAACATAAGTGGGTAATTATGGGGAAGTTAAATAGTGAAATTTTTTTGAGATGGGTGATATACCGGGATAAGACTGGCAATTAAGAGACATGAAATTTTTCTTTCGTCGGTTTTTTTGTATGTGTAGACTGGCTGCTGCAGCTGCGTGTGTATGAGAGAGCAAAGTAGGAGTCCCGCTAAGTAAAGGAGAGAGGTGACGCGTGGGATGTAACGGTTACGCCAATTTGAATTTTTTTTGCATTACCTGGGAAAACAAATTATGTTTATTTAATTTTTCTGAAGTGGCCGACTAACAAGCAACTAAGGAAAGAGTCTTTAATCAACGACTAATATTAATTAATACTTTATATAATTAATTAATCTTGGTTGGGTGTTTAAGCCTTAAGGGAATGTATTTGAAATATCCCTGAACACATTTAACCTTAATTTATTTGAAGTAAATTAACTGCGAAGTAATAATGATATATGATAGTGACACCTTTTCCTATTCTCCACAAGGAAAAAGAGTTGTGTGACAATTAATTTTTACAATTAATGAAACAAAACAGTAATTTAGTGATCTGAGTTAAAATGAGAAAGTCTATAATACTTGAGCCGTTAAAAATTATTTTGACTGTGGTAGGTGAGAAGCTTTGTACGCTCTATATTTGTTCAACTTTTTACAAATGTTCTTTCCAGCTCAATTCCATGGTTTGACAACTGTCCGCACTAAAAGTAACGTACACAAAGATTTGTTATCTTACGATGTTTATATACATTTGATAATTGCTTCCATTAGAGCTACCATATATGCATTTGGAAAGAGGTTGGTAAACCATTAATTTTTGTAAAACGGCCGAAACAAATTGCTGACATGTAAAGTGTGTAAATCGGCTAGATTTGATTGGGACAAAAAGCACTGCATGGTCGACAGGTGTCCCACGTTTTCATATTTTACATGTATAACTATATTTTTATATGATGTTACTTACCAATACGTTGTTTTACCACATCTCCATTTTTTATGACGAGGAAACTTTCCACGGTCACCACCTTCAGTGATGTTGGACCGACCCCCGGGATCTCCACCAGCAGTCCGGGCAAATGCAAGGTGCCTCCGGAAACACCATAGAGGCAGGAGGTGGTGAGGATCGAACCTGGGACCTCCAAGTCACCAGTCGCCTCCCTTACCACCAGGTAGGGCTGGATTTTAGGTTATCTCGGTTATAACCGATAACCGAAATGCCGGTTACCTGTTAACCGCGAAGCCAGACACGCCTACCGCCAACCGCCCGACGGATTCCATCGGTTATCCGACAACCGACCGATCGGTTACCGGTTAGTTGCTCGATTAACCGAGATAACCGCAACGACACAGTTGGCTCGGTTATAATCGAGTAACCGAGCCCCTATACAAACAAGATCGCTAAAATTGCCTAAAATTAAATGTTCAACCCTACATTTCTACATCTAAATTACTCCACAAGTCAAGTTTCAATCATTTTTGCATAGAAAATAAATTTAAATCACCTAATTAATGTCTCAAATACTAGAACATAAAGTCATAAACTTCATAAAGTCACAAATTATAATATATCCAATCCAAATAGCATAGCATCAACAAGTCACCACCAAATCATCACTTATCAACAGAAGAAGAACCAACATCTACATAACCCTTTCTTTCAATTGCGGCAAGAGGTCATGACCAACATCGTCATATCCATCTTTTTCATACTCATCCTCCGGCATATTTTCTTCACCCTCCTGCTCATTCCCATATGGAATGTTCAGACTTGCATCTGCATTGGCAACATTTCCAACATCACTTGCACTTTCCATTCTAGACTAGAAAGTGGTTTTAACTGAGTAAGAAAAAAGAAAACACATTGTTAGAATATTCATACATTTAATTAGGTAGAAAGAAATAATATCTGTTGAAATGACACGATCCTTTTTGAAAACCAAACCATAACTCAAACCACAAACCGGTTACTCCGGAGCAACCCAAACAACTTTTTAAAATAAATAAACAGACAATGTTTAAGAATTTCTAACAAAAAGACTGAACACTTGGGCAAATGACAATCTCAATACTTAAAATGAATGAACTCAGAATCTGCAGTTTACACTCCTAACCATGTAACAAAGAAATTAAACTATTCTAGCTCTGACTCTTCACGAGTTCCTTGACTTCTCATCAATGCTGGTGCAGCTACTCCCCTTGCCTTGCCTCTTCTCGATATCCGCCTCTGCTAACCCTTCCTCGACCTGGTGAGTGAGAAGGGGTCAGTCTCATCGTTACTTCCTAAGGTCTTTGCCCTAAGAAACTCCTTACTAAACACGTTATCAGGGTTCTTGACGACAAAAGTCGTTCTCGCTTTCATCCTTTATACTTTGTTATCAAACAGTCTATAAGAGATCTCTACTCCTATCTTATCTTTAGAATTTCCTTACTTATATTCTTAATCCATAGACACCAACACTAGGGACCAACGCGTTACGTCTTGCCGTCTGGTGTCCCTACCCTAGTATGCCAACCGCGTTACGTCTCGCCGTCCGGTTGCATATCCAAACTCGGCAATGGCACTGCGTTACGTCTCGCCGTCCAGTCCATGCCTGGTCAACTACTGCGTTACGTCTCGCCGTCCAGTAGTAACCCCAACAAACACGATCAACTGTTGCGTTGCGTCTTGCCGTTTAGCAGTGACCCGACCATCTACCGCGTCCAGTAGTGGCCCAACCACCCGAGGGTTCAATTTACCACTAACCAACTATTACAATCATACATTCATACATAGCACAACGCGTGCCTCCACCCTTATAGGCGGTGGGATGCCTCACACACATATCTCGCATTACTCAAAAATTAACTAAATAATAACTTGAAACGAAAAGCATAACTAAAATACCTACGACAGAGATTTTACCCCCTTTACACTCACCTCTTTAGTCGTGTCAACGTCTGCATTCTCACGTTCAAGCCCCGGGTGTTTTTCCTCCTTTGGCTCCTCCTTTATCGGTTCATCGTCTTCCTCTTCGACGACCCTCACCATTGGAGCTCCGCCGCCATTCTTTTCGAGGTCCCTCCTCGGGCCACAATTCAGCGGCCAACTTCGAACTCCCGACACCCCGGGTCGTCTAGGAGGATAGGGTTGGGGCCTCTCCATCGCTTTACCCCCGCCAGTCGCGATCGTCATTGCCGAGTTCTCGGCCTTCCTCCCGCCTCCGCTAGACACGACTCTTCCTCTCCTACTAGCCAGCGTGAACCTCTTCATCACGAGAGACTACAACGTTTGATCGGCGGCTAACTTTCTCACCTTCTTTCTCTTGTTAGTCGGATTATCGCAGGAAACCTATTAATAAGAAATTCATATTCTAAGATGACTTTTCTCGATTTAAAACCCCATTTTTGAATCACTAGAACATCCTCTCCTCAAAATTCAGACCTCCAGCCTCGTTCCAAAGGTCGCTTACCCCCTTTAAAAATTTTCTAGAAATAATCCCTTCAAAACCGACCATTTTTCTTAATTATATTTATCTTGGACGAATTTTTCACCTAACTTGAACCTTCTAAAAAATTCGGATAATAATTTTCCCATGTCAATCATGAACACCTATACCCTAGAAATTATCAAACCCTTAAAGAATTCTCGGAAATATTTTTATTTAATAAAAACAAACATTCTACCAATTTCTAAAACTAGCAACATATCTTCAAAAATCCCCAAATTAAATTTCAGCCATATCCTAGACCTCGCTCAATTTATAAAATTGTTAAACCTAAGAGCAAACAATCACAGAGGCTCGAAATAATTTAAAACATCTAAAATACGTTTCTGGAAATTCCCAGCAGCTTTAGTGACCACCCAAAATCTGTCGGGTTGATCTCCTTCATTTGTTTTCGATTAAATCCATATTCCTTCTCGTCACACTTTTGGAACGATTGGGGATGCCGGCTGACTGGACCCGCGTGCGAAACCTAGGAGAGAAGGGTGGTCGCTACACTGCTTCTTTTCTTCTTCTTTTTGCAGCAGCTACTGCTGCTAACTCTCGGGTTGGGGAAAAATTAGAGGGTGGGGCAATTTGATGGGGGAAGGGTTAATTTTGGGTAAGGATTATGGCGTGGGGAGAGATGGGCATTGGCCTTCTCCTGGCCGATCCCTCCTTTTTTCTAATATGTTGTTGTATCCCTTCGTATGTAATCGTCAATTCAACCGATCACGTATTAAGGTCGAACCTAAACTCAAAGTTCGGAGTGTTGCATTTCCTCCACCCTTAGAAAAATTTCGTCCCCGAAATTTGGAACTGGACAGATAATTACTTTGGAACTAGAAAGATAATTACTTGGTCTGAAACTTTTTGTGTTTGACTAAAACTTCTCAAGCTAGAATATAACATTTCTTTCCCTCTTAAGAAAAATTTCGACCTCGAAATTTGTTTGTTGCGACGGCTCCAAGTTTCACTTGTGACTCTGTACATGGAATTGTACCTCCTCCTAGCCTTGATGTGTTGATCCCATGACATCTTGTCAGGCTCCTGTGACCTACTTAGTTCCTCCTCCGGTTTACTTACGCGCCCCTAGCGTTGCTTAACGTGTAACTTTCCACTACTCCTTGGGTCGTAGCCCTACGTTTGATTCCCGCGAACGTAACGACCCTTTCTTGCCTCCTTTCCTCAATTTGCTGGCTGTCATTTGCCGTAACTCCCTGACTACTACCTGTCGACTTCCTACATACTATGTGTCTTTCTAAACCTTATGCTGATCAGCTCGCATCCCCGTAGGGTAGGAGCTACTTTGGACAACCTCTTCTCGCTCATGAAAAGAGTTCACTAAGCAATTCTCTTAGGAATCTCCTCCTCTCCTTCCCGAGACATATCATAACCTCGTCGGGCATCCTAAAGTTATTTCCTTATCATGATTAGAGTATACTAGAGTTTCTAAAAATTCCCGAAAGACTCTGACTCGTTTGGCCAAACTTTTAACTGACGCCCTCTTTTTACTTTCCTTTAAAAACTGAACCCTTGAAAAACGCAGATCGACACTCCAGTATTCCTTGGAGACCAATGAACAGAGAAGTGTCGGCTCTGATACAAAAATGAAATGACCCAATCCTTTTTGAAAACCAAACCATAACTCAAACCACAAACCGGCTACACCGTAGCAACCCAAACAACTTTTTAAAATAAATAAACCCACAATGTTTAAAAATTTCAAACAAAAA